ACACACACACACACACACACTAACACACACACACACTAACACACACACACACACACACATGAACATCTGGAACTTGTCACAAAGGTTCACATGGGCTCTGAGTCAGGTTCAGGTCTGCAGGTTCTGGTCTGCAGGTTCAGGTCTGCAGGTTCTGGTCTGCAGGTTCCTCATGGAGCAGGTCTTGATGGTTCTGACTGATCCAGGATCTGAAGGTCATGGGAGTCAAACCAGCCGGTCAGATGATCTTGGACCCTGGTGGACCCTGGTGGACCCTGGTGGACCCTGGTGGACCCTACTCTTCTTTGGCAGCCTTCTCCTGGTTCCTCTCCTGGTCTCTCCTCTTCCTCACCTCCTTCAGTCCCTCCTGGATCATGTCCACAGACTCCTGGTCTCCAGCCTCCCGGGCCAGACTCAGAGCCTCCCTGTAGAACTGCATCGCGTCCTCAAACCGACCTACAGGACCAGGGAAGAACAGAAACCGGATCAGGGTCACCTCCACACCCACTCACTGCTCATTTCCTCTTGTCTGTGTGACCTTTGACCTGTGTGGAGCAGGATGCCCGCCATGTTTCCCAGCAGCACATGGAGGTCTGGGTGTCCGGCTGAACGGCTCAGGTCCACAGCTTGCTGGACCAGAACCAAGGCCTCATCATGCTGACCCTGCAGATCCATGATGGTGGCCAGATCGCTCATCAGGACCAGAGTCTGGAGGAGACACCAGAGGGACAGGGTTTACAGGAGACCAGCAGGTCTACCTGGGGGTCTTTGAGACTCCAGGTTCACTCCAAAGACCAGGGTCCTGGTTTATCGTAGAAAAGGTTCTAGATTCTGTCGTAGGAATAAAATGACGAATAAGAACAAAAACTCTAAATTTCTCGAACCTGCGGTCGTACGAACACGCATCATCGTCATGGTTACGGTCATTTACATTCAGACACGCCTCCTATTGACCATATATGGTATCAATGAAACCATGGAGGTGCACACTCACAGTCGTGCGTTCCTCCAACAACGTTTAACAGATCCATATGATCATCTCAGATTATTGATCATCTCAGATTATTGATCATCTCAGATTATTGATCCTTTCCTGTTGATTAAACTGAATTGATTGTGTGAAGGTTCTTTTATAACGATGTGGTCAAATCTACGGCTCCAATCATGTTTGGGAATCCGGCGATGGCGTGAAATCCTGTTTTTATTTCGGCGTGTTGCTGACGTGTGTTCGAGAACTGGATGAAAGTCGAGGTCAGAGAAATTATTACATCCAACCCGGGATTTCTACCACATCCTGAACGGCTCCGATCCGGAACAGCAGCAATTTTCAACGACCGCCAATTCCTACCGGATCTGTTTGCGAGGCGAATTTCATGGCGGATTACAAACAGCGATAATCGTGAGAACTCACAAGAACCCGCAGATTCACGTTCAATCTCACGATAACGAGTCGTCTCTCTAAAGACAGACACATAGACATATAAGCAGTAGATTGTGTCCTTCCAGAGGAGGAAATCTACTTCTAGACTTCCAGAATCAGCATCTCCCTCAGAGCCCCAGTTCCTGGTCCTACCTGTGGGTGGGTGTCGCCCTGCTCCTGGCGGCAGATCTTCAGGGCGTTCTGGTAGTCCTGTGTGGCCTGGCTCAGGTGCAGCATGGACGCTCGGTATCGAGCCCGTGAGTCCAAACACAGACCCAGAAGGAGGCGGGTGTCCTTCCTGAGCGCCTCCTGCTCCTCTGAGGAAGAACCACAACATCATCATCAGAAAACAGCCGCTCAGACGACGGTGTCCGCACTGATGCTGGACTGTTCAGTAACAACTGTTCTGATTGGTTCCAGACAACCCTGAGGCCCCGCCTCTGGAGATCTCAGACTTTGAACATCTGGAGGAACTCGACCCTCTGGATCGTTGAGTTTGAGTCTGAATCCATGAAAGTTCACCGAGACCCGAAACAAACAGAAACGAAGAAGAAGAAGGTCAGAGGGTCACCTGTCTGCTGCTCCTCAGGGATCTCCTTCTGCTTCTCCAGTTTGGCCTCAAGGGACTCCGTACAAAACCTGAAACCGTGTTCTGCAAGCTCCGCCCTCACACACACACACACGCACACACACTCATGATTACTCCTCTGACAGGGGTCACAGGTCCAACAGTTGACAGTAGAACCTGGATCATCTCACTTGTTCTGTTCGGCGTAGATGGTGGCGAGTTTCAGGGACATTTCAATGACAGCGTTGTCGTCCTGGTAACACACAAGATGTCAGAAACAGCTGACTGAAGACACGAACAGACATGGACAGACATGAACACAGAGACACACTCTCACCTGTGGGGTTCCTCCTGACAACATGAAGCTCATCGCAGCTTTGAAGAGTTTTTCTGCCTGATGAGGAGAAACAACAACGACCACAATGACCACGATGACCATGATGACCATGATGATGACCATGATGATGACCATGATGACCATGATGATGACCATGATGACAACGATGGTGACCATGATGATAACCATGATGATGACCATGATGACCATGATGACCATGATGATGACCATGATGACCATGATGATGACCATGATGATGACCATGATGACCATGATGATGACCATGATGACCACGATGATGACCATGATGATGACAGACACAGATCTTCATGTGAATATGATCAATAACAGAGTAAACACAAGCTGAGCTGTGATTGGACGACACTTACACTGTCCAGCTGACCCTGAACATAAGCCAGGTTCGCCATCTGAGGAGACACAAGAGCAGGTCAAAGGTCACACAGCAGCTTCCTTTTAAAGAGGCAGACATGGCAGCAGCAGCAGAGGTCAGAGGTCAGAGGTCAGAGTGTGTACCTGGCTGTAGGTGTAGATGATGGCCTGGTTGTTGTGGGTCTGATGAGCGAGGACTACAGCCTGATGGAGGAACCCAGAGGCAGCCTGGAGCTGACCCCGATACACACTGAGCTGAAGACAGAGAGAGAGTACACGCTATACTGCAGTAATACTTCTAATACTACAGGACTAACACTCCCTGAAGTACTTCAGTAAAGTACCTTAGCTTTCTTCAGCAGCAGGATCAGCTCGTCCTCCTTCTTCTGAGCTTCATCTCTGTGGTCTTCATCAGAGCTGCTGAACAGAGAGAAGGCTGCACACACACACACACACACACACACACACACACACACACAGGTACACACACACAGGTACACAAGCACAATACACACCATAGTTTGGTTTGTATGGTGAAGACATGTTTGTGTGTGTGTGTGTGTGTGTGTGTGTGTGTGTGTGTGTGTGTGTGTGTGTGTGTGTATTTTCAGGATAACACACCTACTGCGGCCCACAGCACCCCTCCTCCCCCTCCTCTTCCTTCTCCTCCACCTCCTCCTCCTCCCTGCTGGTTCTGGAAGGTTCTGCAGAAGGACTCGTGTTCGGTCACTTTTACCCAGCATGCCGAGCGTCTCCCCTCCACGGTCTGTGATGTCACACAGCGCTGACTCAGCTCTCTGAGACGAAGACGACAGAAGAGAGGACAGAAGTCACTGACAGCGGGTCACCAGGGGGCGCTCTCCCTCTCTCTGTCTGAGTTTGTGTTCCTCTGTGCTGAACCACAGACTGTTTTTACTCTCGACTCTTCAGTTCCTCCAGTTTAAAGATCTGAAGCTGAAAAGTTTTCAGTATTTCTGAGTTTTTTTCTCCATGAAACCAACTTTGTTCAGTAACGTTGTTCACATTCAACAGGAGAGTCTCTGTGATGACGCTCGGCTCAAACAGCGTATCCCCCGGTGATCTACTCAATCTCTGTCCTCCCATAGGCTGTATCAGGTGTCAATCATAGAAAACATGAACCCCCTAATAACTTTTAAAAATGGAGCTGTACAGAAAAAAGAGGACTTGAGCACAAACCAGTCTGACAGTAACTACATGTCAACATCACAACCAGGGGGGAGAAACATTTATATTCTGTGTCATTCATTTATAAAGTTTGTCCACAGCTCCATAAGGAGGCGGGGTTTATGACCTATACTGCAGCCTGTCACCAGAGGGCGCTGTTCTCACAGAGAGGAGGCAGACGGCGTCTAAGGCTGCCTCCTGCTGGAGTGAATGGAGAGGTGCTTCTCTCTGATTGGTTCAAATGGGTTCCGGATCAATCATGTGACCGGTCACATGTTTTTACTCTGAAATCAACATTTAGATTCATGAAGCTGAAACTTTAAACCTGTTAAAATTAGAAACAGGAGTTCATCTGTTTGTTCAACTTTAACCTCAAACACTGAGAGTCTGCTAGAGCACGTGCGCACACACAAACAGCTGTTCCAAGTGATGATGACGTCACTAACAGCTGCTGCTTCATAAACACCGTAAATTAAACCATCAGCTGTTTCCTGCTGACTCTGACCTCTGAACTCTACAGACCGGAAGCAGCTCGCTGTTTTGTAGTCCATCTGCGGCAGGTTGTAGTTTTTAATCCCGGCAGTCACGTGACCTCAGTACCGGACCCTGTCAGACCTTTACTGACCCCCCCCCCTCCACACACACACACACACACACACACACACACACACGGACTCTTCAGCTGGTTCTGTCAGACCCCCCCCCCCCGCGGACGGACCCTCACTGACCTGTCAGCACACACCTGTCCTCGTGCACACCTCCACCTCCTCACGCTCTGTCTGAAGACCGCACGGACAGAACAGGACGCCGCCATCTTTGATGTTTACATAAGGACCGGAAACACGTGACCGCACACTTTCAAAATAAAATCATTCTTTTTTGTTGACTCTTACTTTTACAAACTCAGAGACAAAATTTTTCTTTTTCCTTCAATTTATGATTCAAATCTGAGAAATTTAATACGGAGTCATTTTTGACCCTCATGAAGATTTTTTATTAAATTTATTAAAGGTAAAAAATTCAGACTTGAAGTTTTTCATTCAGTCATTTTAATGTGAAAAACTCCAGATGACAGAAAAATTAGAGAGAAAACAGAATAAAGAGGAAATGTTGAACTTCTGAAGGAAAATAATCCTTTCATTCAGGAGTTCATGTGTTCACTTCAGTCAGTCAGTCTGCTTCTGGACTCACACTCATTCATTTCCTGTGTAAAGCTCTGCAGTGTTTTACTCAGACAGTGAGAATATTTCAGGACTGTTTTATTTGGATCTTCATGATTACGACTCGGCTCATCATGAATCAAACTGGACTTTCCCAGCAGAACCCGGTACCTGTCCACAGAACCAAAACCCACCAGCTGGTTTCTCCTGAAGTCCTGATCTGTGAGTGAAGAATCTCAAATGAACGTTTGACTTTTCCAGGACCTTCTTTTTTATTGGACCTGTTCTTAAAACCAGGAGTTCACATTGAAACAGGTCCAAACCCAGGTTCTGCTCAGTTACCTGTATGTGTGTGTGTGTGTGTGTGTGTGTGTGCAGGACTGTACCTGAGCCAGTCTCTGTCCTCACAGAGATATAAAGTCACACACAGACTGTGGTTCAGGTGTTCATGTGAGTGAACGGATGAAAAAGGATGAGACAGAGAGTGAGAGTGTTTTTAATGTCAGACAGACGTCCTCAGGTCCTTCAGCCTCTCTCAGCTCATGGAGACATTTTAAAAACATTGATTTGGTTTGTGGTCTCTGAGGACCGTCAGGAGGTTCAAAGTTCAAACCTGGTCTTAGCGGACAGACAGGAGATCATTCAGAGACGTTAGATAAAAACAGATGATTCAGAGTTTCTTCATGTGATCATCATCAGCTCAGAGCAGGAAACTCGTCTGTCTGTGAGGAAAAGCAGCTTTTAGTTTGAAGGAGTAAAAGAAACTTAAACTTCCTGTTCATGAAGCAGCAGGTTGATTCAGAAAACCCAGAAAATCTCAGGGTTCAAACATCCCAAACACTCAAAACGCAGCCCCTTACAGACTGTTTCAGCCCCTTACAGACTGTTTCAGCCCCTTACAGACTGTTTCAGCCCCTTACAGACTGTTTCAGCCCCTTACAGACTGTTTCAGCCCCTTACAGACTGTTTCAGCCCCTTACAGACTGTTTCTTTTTCCGTCTGCTTTAAGGTCCTCACACACCGGTAACGACGCAAATATACGACGCGAAATTAAGAAACATTCTGAATTTTGACACGACTGACTATAAACATCAAGCCTGATACGATTTTATGACTTTCCGGGGGAAAAGACTCGTCCGGGTCTTCAGTGAGAAGACTGATCCAACAGCAGACTGAGTGTTTCTCAGTTCTGATCAGACTCTAGTGTTGAGATGTCTGTCTGTCATGATAGCATGGACTGAGTCGGGTCAGAACCAGATAAACACATTAAACTATAATCCATAAACGTAAGGGAACAACAGAGACCTGATGGAGCTGTGACTGAGTTTACAGTGAAAATACAGATGGTCTGTTGTATCTGAACAGGTTAGCTTAGAGCTAAAGTTACTTAGCACAGATGAAAGTTAAAACAAAGACGTTTATCAAACTGTTAAAGCTCACAAACCATCGTCATCGGAGAAATCCGACACTATGACTCTCCACAAGTCGTCCTTCAGGTCATTATCTTTGTAATGTTTGTGTCTTTGATCAAAAATCACTCTGTTCTCCGACACGGAAACAATCAGACGGTCGGCCATGTTGGATATACCAGTGAATCTGACGTCGCAACAACAGGAAATCTGATTGGTCAGAAGTGGACACACAGTCTGAGAAACTTTAGAAAAATCGACCGTGATACGAAAAAATAAATGCCGAAATATCGCAGGACGGGAAAACGTCGCTGATCTGAACGCTCCCGGTAGGTAAGGACCTTTCGTCTGTTTCAGTGTTCACCTCTTCACCTGTGGTCAGCCTGGTTTTCTGCTGTTTGTCCTTTCACACACAGAGGTCAAAGGTCACTGTTTCACGCTGATCTCTGTCTTTTAAAGGAGGTCTTGTTTTGGTGCAGATCTCAGAAGTGTTCCCTTCGTTCCACCTGCCGATGAACCCGTACCGCACCTGTCCGTGACCACGCCCCCTGTTGAGGTGTCAGGTGTGTCCTCAGGCGGTCTCAGTGGGTTTACTCGGCCGGCTGGTGGTCGATGAACCTCTTCAGGTGCAGGCGCAGCACTCCTTTGGTTTTGAAGGTCTTTCCGCAGTCGCAGGCGTGCGGCCGCTCGCCGGTGTGGTCCAGCTGGTGGACGCGCAGCAGCGTGCTGGTGAAGAAGAACTCGCCGCAAGTGAAGCAGTAATGGCTCTTCTCTCCGGTGTGTTTGGTCCTCTGGTGGCTCAGCAGCGAGCCTGACGTGGTGAAGCTCTGACCGCAGTCCTGGCAGCTGAAAGGTCGCTCCCCGGTGTGGATCCGTTCGTGAGCCCTCCAGGAGTTGTGGTAGGAGAAGGCCTTCTCGCAGTACGAGCACTGGTACAGCTTCTCCTTGGTGTGGCTGAGCCGGTGCATCTTCAGGTAGTGAGCAATGGTGAAGCTCTTCCCACAGTCGTCGCACGTGAACGGCTTCTCGCCCACGTGGAACAGCGTGATGTGTGACCTCAGGTGGGATGACTGGGTGAACCTCTTCCCACAGGTGGTGCAGAGGAACGGCCTCTCCCCGGTGTGGGTGACCATGTGGGACTTGAGGTGGGGGGACTGGGTGAACCGCTTGCCACATTCTGAGCACTTGTAGGGCTTGAGTCCGGTATGCGTGCGGTTGTGTAGCTTGAGTCCCTGCAGGCTGGAGAAGCTCTTGCCGCACTCGGGGCAATGGTAGTCTCTCAGGTCCTCATGGGTCCTCTGGTGGCAGCGCAGACCGCCCAGCAGCTTGAAGCCTTTCCCGCAGGTGGAGCATTTGTGCGGCTTGCTGTCCGAGTGCGTTACCTGGTGCACCTTCAGGCTCTGCGGGTTGCTGAAGGTCTTGTTGCAGATCAGGCAGGGTAACGGCTGCGGGTTCTTGTGTGACCTGCGGTGGAAGTTGAAGCCCTGGTAGGACACAAACATCTTGTCACAGACTTTGCAGTGGTAGCACTTCTCCCCCTCGTGTGTCTGCAGGTGGTCTGAGAGCTGGTCCTGTTGGCTGAAGCCGTCCCCACAGAACCAGCACTTAAAGGGTTTGATCCCCGAGTGCGTGCGGTGGTGCGTTTTCCAGTCCCTCTTCAGGGCAAAGGACTTGTCACAGTAGGAGCATTGGTAAGGTTCCCTGCGGTCGTGGACCTGCTGGTGCAGCACCAGGCTCATCAGGGTCGGGTAGGTCTTCCCGCACTGCCAGCACTGGTTCGGGGTAAATCCTTGGTGGGTTCTCAGGTGAGCCTCCAGGTGAGACCTCTTGTAGAAACCCTTGTTGCACTGAAAGCAGTAGACCATCTTCCTGCCTGTGTTGGCCAGATTGTAGTGTCTGCGTCTCGGGAGACAGAGCTGAGGGTGGTCATCTGGGGGGGGTCAGAGGTCAGAGCTCTATTCAGATATCATGACTGTAGATCAACTAAATTTAAACGCCTTACCAACAAACAGGAAGTCCCGCCCATTCAGCCACAGCGAGCAGTCAGTCAGTTTGACGGACAGCTTCTTGAGGACATAATAGGACTGGATTTCCAAATCGTCGTCCGGCTCCATTTTGATGTGAACCTCTGAGATCTCCTCAGCGGCGTCCTGAAACGAGAACTGAACTGTGACATCATGTGACTGTTTCTCTGAGAGCTGATTGGACAAAAATTTTTAAAGATGAACCTGCACAGGTAGTTTTACATCAAACAATTTGATGATTTAATCTGAGACTCAGAGAGATCAGCAGGAAAAGAACAAAGAAGCTCAGTTAAAGGTGGAGGAGACAGGAGTTCGTTAAAGAAGCAAAAACCTTCTAATATCAGTCAATAGTTATTAGTTATTGATGACCTTTGGTAATATATCGATATCTCTGTGTTCTCTTCTGTCTGTGTCGTCAACATTTGAACATTTTTGAGCGGTCCGCTCTTTCTGACTGTAAACAAAGCCGTTCTCCACCTCCTCTAACCTGATTGGTTGTGAGGCAGACGCTGCTCCCCCGTGTCGTTCAGGAGCCCAAACAAAGTTAGCGTGCTACAATATCGGACAGTAGAAACCAACCAGAAAGTTCGGAAAATTGTCCGAATCCTCCTTTGGCCACGACTGCCGACACAAGCAAGAAAACAAAGTAAATACCGGAGACTCTGGAGGACTAACGGGCGCTTAAAACGGAGGTAGACCGGACAAGAGCTAAAAAGCCGGGTCAACATAAACCATTTGGAAATTTGGAAATCCAGGTCCGAGAGTCTGGAGAAAGACAAGAGACCCTGATTCCAAGGAAGTCCAGAGTGAAGTGGTCTTGAGTCTGTGATGGTTTGGGGTACCATGGCATCTGATCAGGTCCAGAGTCAACACAAGTCTACCAGGAGGGTTTAGAGACCTTCATGCTTCATCTGCTCAGAAGATTTCAGGAGATCCAGATTTGGTACCAAAACTACCAGGAACTGGTTTACTGACTGTGGTCTGACCTGAACCCCACAGAGGATCTCCAGAGGATCAGAGACACCAGAGGAACAATGCAGACCAGTGGAAGGAGGGACCAGAGCAGGGACAGGAGAGCCCACCAGAGACTTCAATGGAGCGTTTGAGATCCTGGATCTGATTTTAGGGGGGGCACTGGAAATCCTGTTTTAATGGACAATGATCCAGAATCATCTAAACTAAAGTTTAGAAACAGAGAAGCGTTCAGATCGTTCGCTCTGATGGAGAATAAATGAGAGTCGACCTGATTGGTTCAATTCTGCAGAAAAAGTTTCTCTCATTATTTCTAATTTCTGTGAGTTTTATTCAAACTTCGTTGAAAGTAATCTGATGATCTTAAACTGAAGGATAAATCCCCTCAGTCTGATTGTTATAAAGAGTCGGAACTCTGGAGTTTTCTGCTTCAGGAGCTTCAGGAGCTTCAGGAGCGCAGCAGGCCTCCACTGCTGCCAATACCACACATCAGGGACAGACCCTGCACCAAATCCCATTCATAATCTGATCATTTTACTTTCACTGTTCCGCCACAGAGACTCTAAACACGACAGTCTGACAGCTTTCAATAAATCTGTTTAACACACGAAACTCTAAAATTCAGGTGATACCAAATTCATTCAGACTGAACCTTTTGGTTCTGATTCACCTATTTGTCCTCAGACTTGTGACTCGATACGAACCGGACCAGTACGAATCTAAGGCATTAAACTGAGACACAGCCCTTTGGTGTTAGAGCCGAATTCAATTCTGTGTTGGTCTGAGTTACACTAAAGTGTTGTATTGAGTTTGTGTGTTCAGTTTGTGCAGAGTGTGTCTGTTTATTCTTCACTTGTTTTTGAATGGAGTTTGGTGCGCGCTCCCTCCCCTCTGCTCTACAGGCTAGCTCCGTTAGCTCAGCCGTTAACAGCTCAGAGTTCAACAGCAGCGGGTTATTCGGTCGGTTTACCGGAGACGCTGTGTCGGTGTCCATCCCGCCGGTCCGGCTGTCACCTGGTTACCTGTCGGTTCCGTTAATAAAGTGGACTGTAGTGTTCCGAGGATCCAATAGCAGCAACTTCTTCTTCTACGGCGGCAACTCGGCACAGCAGCTGCTGACTTCCGGGGAAGTTTGTCCTCCCAAAGAGAGAAAGTTTGAGGGTTTGAGTCAAAATGTTCCAAATTCAGTCTGGAGAGGTTCTGATGAAGGCGGACCCGGTTCTGGATCAGAACACAGACATGAACTGATGACCTGAAGGTTCCTGGAGTGTTTAATGTTGGTGACAGCTCCACATGGTCCATATAATAACAGTTTAAAATCACTCAGAATAAAACTTCTCGTCATTCATGAACGTCTGTCCCTGAAAGGATCAATTAATAAAATATTACATGACGTCTTCTGATTAAAGTCGTGTTCCTGCTCTCACAAATTCACCTGTACTATTATTATTATTAGACAACACAGTGATAACAGAGGGAGATGTAAACGATCACCATTCATTTACTCAGACTGTAAAATTAAAGATACTTACACATTTTTAATGTACAGAACATTAAAGATAAATTAATATGACTTTAATTTTTACTTTACCCCTGAGGAGTGTGACTTTAGTGTGACAACAGAAAAAATGATGGAATAACAGAAATAAAGAGCAGTAGTTGTAGTCTTCAGACTCTAACAGGAGTGTGTGTGTGTGTGTGTGTTGACAGGAACACCTGAACTCTTTATTAGAGAGTCTGTCATCTCTGTATTTTCAGGGTTTCTTTCTCTGTAAAAAGTTGATTTTCTGATCTTTGTTCTTGTTAGAAATCTTGTTTTAGACCTTTTTGTGTTTATAGAGCCGATATAAAAACTCTGATGTTCTCGTGTAAAAGTCTAAATCGTCACGCTGTGATGTGACAGGATGGAGGTCGCCTCGTTAACGTCTGAGAAACGACTTGATCAGTTTGAAACAGTTTCAGCTGTTATTTGTGTTTCTCTCCACTGTTGTCGGTCCATGTCGGTGTAGATGTGATCAAACATCAGATGAAGAAAAGGAGCACAGAGATGATCAGGTTTGGAGAGTTTAGTCACTCTGTGAAAACATGAAGAAGAGATCATACTCGTAATTTAGTTTTACCTCAGAGTTCCTTTTATTTGAACAGTTTTATTTTGTCACATTGAAGCTTTTCCACAGAAATCCCACAGACCGGTCCAGACCGCAGCTCAGGACAGAACCGGCGTTTTAACCATCATGACCACCTGTTCCAGCTCCTCCATGATGACCGCAGGTGTCCTCCTGAACGTCCACCTGCAAACAGAAGAGAGGCTGCTGAGATCACATGACCACACATCAGGTTCACTGTGGTCATTACACCTGATGCAGACCACACCCACAGGTCACATGACTGCTCAAATAGACACCACCTGTCCATGTTCAGACCAGGTGTGACCCTTTAAGACCTGGAACCACAAATTACAGCCAGAAAATTCTGTTTATTCTGGAGCTGAAATCTTTATTTCATTTAATACTAAAAAACAAAAACATCTAAATGTCCTTAAAATTTAATATTTTATTTATGTTTTTGGAAACTGATGAACTACAGGAGGACACTTTGATCATTGATCTCAGAGTACTCAGGTGGTTTTTAGTGATTTGTTGATCATATTGATTTGATAAAAGTATCAGATATGGTACAAAAAGGCATTAAATTAAAACAGTCAAACTCACCTGTGGGCGGGGCTTTTGTGGCGCCTGGAGCATCAGTGTTACCTGAGTGACAAGAGAACCACAGTTACTGAACCTGCGGGTCAGAACACGCCTCAGTCAGCTGTTTGATCACGTGACCAGGGATCAGATGAACGCTTCGGTCCGTCTTTGTCATGGCGCCCCCACTCTGAGAACATGCTGCCTGGTGGGGGCGCTACAATTCGGCCTTTTGTTCACATCATCTCCCACAGGCCGGCGGTGTCTCCGCCCACTCTGACCACAGCAGCAGCTCTGGTAAGTGATTGGATGATTAAAGTCACCGACTCACCATGACATCACAGCTTCAGTCAGAGCCAATCAGAGAGCAGATCTGGCCTCTACGGTGACATCACAGCAGTCCATCCTGTCAGAGCCAATGAGAGAGCGGCGTGAACAGCAGGTACAGACTCACCTGAGGAGCCGAGAGAACAAACTGAATCGCCGGGATCAGAATACGCTTCAGTCCGGTTTTGTCACGGCCCCGCCCCTGCGAACAGACTGCTGTGGGCGGGGCTTCAGTCGGCCTTTCATTTCATCACTTCCTGGCTGTCAGGTAAAATGTTGAACACCTGTGAGGACGAGCAGATGGTCTGCTCTCATGGGGGGGGGGTCTTACCTGAGCTCCTCAGTCCCAGGACAGCAGGGGGGGGGTGTCCAGATCCAGGGGGTCAGCTGATGATCACCTGACCTGGAGATCCAACATCCAGGTGATCTTTAGAGGAGGTCACATGAGCAGCTAAAGAACAGGAGGAGAGAGAGAGAGAGAGAGAGAGAGAGAGAGAGAGAGAGAGAGAGAGAGAGAGAGAGAGAGGAGAGAGAGAGAGAGAGAGAGAGAGAAAGAGAGAAAAGAGAGAAGGAGAGGGAGAGAGAGCGAGAGAGAGCGAGAGAGAGAGAGAGAGAGGGGGAGAGAGCGAGAGAGAGAAAAGAGAGAGAGAGAGAGAGAGACAGAGACAGAGAGAGAGAGAGAGAGAGAGAGACAGAGACAGAGAGAGAGAGAGAGAGAGAGAGAGAGAGAGAGAGAGAGAGAGAGAGAGAGAGAGAGAGAGAGAGAGAGAGAGAGAGAGAGAGAGAGAGAGAGAGACAGAGAGAGAGAGAGAGAGAGAGAGACAGAGACAGAGAGAGAGAGAGAGAGAGAGGGAGACAGAGAGAGAGAGACAGAGAGACAGAGAAAAGAGAGAGACAGAGAGAGAGAGAGAGAGAGAGAGAGACAGAGACAGAGAGAGAGAGAGAGAGAGAGGGAGACAGAGAGAGAGAGACAGAGAGACAGAGAAAAGAGAGAGACAGAGACAGAGACAGAGACAGAGAGAGAGAGAAAAGAGAGAACATTATAATTTCATCCATCAGGAGGATCTCTGGTGAACACCAAACTCTGTTCACTAAGACAAAAGGACCAAACTCTGAGACAGCATCTAGTTTTTACAGCTCTGTACAGCCGCGTCAGCCCACGCACGCGCACAATCCTACCACGAGGACCGTCCGCCGCGCCTTTTACCGTTTAACTGTCGGTCCAATAAAACTCAGTTAAAGTCCAAAACGGTGTTTAAAGCAGTTCCAGCTCACCTGTCCGGGTCGGTCTCCTCTGAACTCACCTTTACCTGCAGCTAACTTTAGCCGCTAACCTTTACGAACATTAACTAACATTAACTTTAACTAACCTTAACTTCAGAGTTCAGCTGGTTAACAGAGTCCTCTGACTTCAGTCCTCAGACAGGTCCAATCCTCCAGCACCGCTCAGTGTTACTGAAACAGAGTTAGTCGGTTCTGTTGTGGTTCGGATCATTAACCCACTCTCTTCTTCACAATGACCATCAAACTTTCCCGGCACCGCCATGTTGGATTTATAGCAGCCAACAACCAATCACCGATCGACTGCTTCTTCTTCTGCTGATTTATTAACAACAGGAACTTCCGCCCTCTAACGGACTGGAGTGTACCGTCCGTGATTTTCAGTTTTATGAATAATTAAAGAAAAAAAAACCTTCATATTTCAGGACGTCCTAATATTATATACGTTTTATTAATTTACACTGAAAACTAGTTTTTACGACACGGAAGAGAGGCAGTGAAAGCAGCACGACCGTTATTTTTTAAATCCAAATAACTGGTTTTAACCGGTAACAACGTCCGCCGAGAAGGTTAAACACTGTAGTGGATAATTGAGAGAGTTTAACACTGTTGTGGGTGATTTAAAGAGTCACGTTAGAGAGAAAATAGTCTTTAAACTACAGAGATGGAGGAGAAAGACGAGCGGGTCGACCTGATTCAGAGATTCACCGTCAACAGTTTGAGGTTGGACCCGGACTCATGGCGGGACTTCGTGTTAGAGGAGGAGAACCAGGTGGTTTTTACCGGTTTCTTTAAATCTAAAGACTTTAAAACGATGTTCATCAACCGAGACTCAGAGGGCCGCCTCAAAGTCAGCTTCCAGTTCCCTGAAAATGTCCAAACTAAAGTCATCTGTGTCTCTAAAACGGTCCGAGAAGCTCTGAGCGAAGAAAATATCAGAGACAGTTTAACAGTTCAGGAGATTCACGGAGAGGACGCCATGACAGTCACCGCCTCAGTCTGCCAACAGGTGAGACAGGTTAAAGTCAGGTTAACCCTTGTGTACACCTTAAAATATACTTGTTTACCTTGTGTACACAAATGGTCCATCATTCAAAGTGCAGTAAAAACGTCTTACATTAATAATGTCTTTTACTTTTACAGCATCACATCTTTGTCATCATCTTCAGACCTATTCTTAGATATGAAGTTTCTTATTTTTCAATTGGAAAAACATGTGAAATGAAATATTTCCAAAAATGAGTTGCAAAAGAAGTATTTTTAATAAAGCTATAACAGCCTTGACCATGTCAATAATTGATAAAAAAATATTGATTTTAATGCATTATTATTTTTGGCACAACTAGAGTTTGAATGCAGGTGAGTTAGGGTCAGGGTACACCTTTGTAACTGATTAACCACCTCAGGTGTCATCCTTTGAAATTCTAAACAATGATTGGCTGTTTATCATTCAAGAGGCGGGGCTTGTGTAATTAAGGTGGGGTGATAAAGGCGAGCACTTTAGAGTGAGAGAGACCGCCCTGATTCCAAACATGAGGGTTCGACGTTCTCGTGGTTAAAGCTCTCAGTTGATGCACGTCTGTGTGAACCCTGAAAATAAAATAACACTTCCTCTGAGGTTGAAGTCACAGACAGGTGTGTTAGCACCTCCTGCTGGACAGTCTGGATACATCTGACTGGAGGTTATGGGTGTTTCCTGTCCACCCTCAGGTGACATGCCCGTTGCTAGGCAGCCTAGCAGAGCAGCAGCCAATCAGCTGGGCAGCAGGTGAGGGCGATGAGTCGCAGACGATTATGGAGCGACAGAAGACCGCAACGCAGGTGATGAGGGCTCAGATCGAAGGGCGGATCTTTCTTCCTCACCCTGCGGCTCTGCAGGACGCCAGTTACTATGACAACTGTGTGGGGGGGTAAGACGAACAAACAGCTGTTAATGATGTCATTTAACCAAAAAAGGCCGTCATCCTCTGACAGGAAGCTTCTTCTTCTCCTCTCTTTCTTAGGGAGCTCTCCCCCGCCTGTGACACCACCATAGTGGAGTGGGCGGAGTTTGTGTCAGAGTTCTTAAAGGAGAACTCATCTGAAGTGGTTCTCAAAGGACTGAAGCCTTTCCCTTCAGAGGAGTTTAACTTCTGGATGAAGAGACGAAACAACCTGCGCTTCCTCCAGGAACAGGTGATTCATCCTGAGGACACCGGAAAAAAAACACAGAATACTCCTTTAAATGATCTAAAAAACACAGAATACTCCTTTTAAATGATCTAAAAACACAGAATACTCCTTTTAAATGTTTGAAAAAACACAGAATACTCCTTTAAATGATCTAAAAAACACAGAATACTCCTTTAAATGATCTAAAAAACACAGAATACTCCTTTAAATTATTGAAAAACACAGAATACTCCTTTAAATGATCTAAAAAACACAGAATACTCCTTTAAATGATCTAAAAAACACAGAATACTCCTTTACATGATCTAAAAACACAGAATACTCCTTTAAATGATCTAAAAAACACAGAATACTCCTTTAAATGATCTAAAAAACACAGAATACTCCTTTAAATGATCTAAAAACACAGAATACTCCTTTAAATGATCTAAAAAACACAGAATACTCCTTTACATGTTTGAAAAAACACAGAATACTCCTTTAAATGATCTAAAAACACAGAATACTCCTTTAAATGATCTAAAAACACAGAATACACCTTTAAATGATCTAAAAACACAGAATACTCCTTTAAATGTTTGAAAAAACACAGAATACTCCTTTAAATAATCTAAAAAACACAGAATACTCCTTTAAATGATCGAAAAACACAGAATACTCCTTTAAATGATCTAAAAAACACAGAATACTCCTTTAGATTATTAAAAAACACAGAATACTCCTTTAAATGATCTAAAAACACAGAATACTCCTTTAAATGTTTGAAAAAACACAGAATACTCCTTTAAATGATCTAAAAACACAGAATACTCCTTTAAATGATCTAAAAACACAGAATACACCTTTAAATGATCTAAAAACACAGAATACTCCTTTAAATGATCTAAAAACACAGAATACTCCTTTAAATGATCTAAAAACACAGAATACTCCTTTAAATGATCTAAAAACACAGAATACTCCTTTAAATGATCTAAAAACACAGAATACTCCTTTAAATGATCTAAAAAACACAGAATACTCCTTTAAATTATTGAAAAACACAGAATACTCCTTTAAATAATCTAAAAAAAACACAGAATACTCCTTTAAATGATCTAAAAAAAACACAGAATACTCCTTTAAATGATCTAAAAAAAACACAGAATACTCCTTTAAATGATCTAAAAACACAGAATACTCCTTTAAATGATCTAAAAACACAGAATACTCCTTTAAATGATCGAAAAACACAGAATACTCCTTTAAATGATCGAAAAACACAGAATACTCCTTTAAATGATCTAAAAAAAACAGAATACTCCTTTAAATGATCGAAAAACACAGAATACTCCTTTAAATGATCGAAAAACACAGAATACTCCTTTAAATGATCTAAAAAACACAGAATACTCCTTTAAATAATCTAAAAAACACAGAATACTCCTTTTAAATGATCTAAAAAACACAGAATACTCCTTTAGATTATTAAAAAACACAGAATACTCCTTTAAATGATCTAAAAAACACAGAATACTCCTTTAGATTATTAAAAAACACAGAATACTCCTTTAAATGATCTAAAAAACACACAATACTCCTTTAAATGTTTGAAAAAACACAGAATACTCCTTTAAATGATCTAAAAACACAGAATACTCCTTTAAATGATCGAAAAACACAGAATACTCCTTTAAATGATTGAAAAAACACAGAATACTCCTTTAAATGATCTAAAAACACAGAATACTCCTTTAAATGATCTAAAAAAAACACAGAATACTCCTTTAAATGTTTGAAAAAACACAGAATACTCCTTTAAATGATCTAAAAAACACAGAATACTCCTTTAAATGATCTAAAAAAAACACAGAATACTCCTTTAAATGATCTAAAAAAAACACAGAATACTCCTTTTAAATGATCTAAAAAAAACACAGAATACTCCTTTAAATGATCTAAAAACACAGAATACTCCTTTAAATGATCTAAAAACACAGAATACTCCTTTAAATGATCTAAAAACACAGAATACTCCTTTAAATGATCTAAAAACACAGAATACTCCTTTAAATGATCGAAAAACACAGAATACTCCTTTAAATGATCTAAAAAGAACAGAATACTCCTTTAAATGATCGAAAAACACAGAATACTCCTTTAAATGATCGAAAAACACAGAATACTCCTTTAAATGATCTAAAAAACACAGAATACTCCTTTAAATAATCTAAAAAACACAGAATACTCCTTTTAAATGTTTGAAAAAACACAGAATACTCCTTTAGATTATTAAAAAACACAGAATACTCCTTTAAATGATCTAAAAAACACAGAATACTCCTTTAGATTATTAAAAAACACAGAATACTCCTTTAAATGATCTAAAAAACACAGAATACTCCTTTAAATGATCTAAAAAACACACAATACTCCTTTAAATGTTTGAAAAAACACAGAATACTCCTTTAAATGATCTAAAAACACAGAATACTCCTTTAAATGATCGAAAAACACAGAATACTCCTTTAAATGATTGAAAAAACACAGAATACTCCTTTAAATGATCTAAAAACACAGAATACTCCTTTAAATGATCTAAAAAAAACACAGAATACTCCTTTAAATGTTTGAAAAAACACAGAATACTCCTTTAAATGATCTAAAAAACACAGAATACTCCTTTAAATGATCTAAAAAAAACACAGAATACTCCTTTAAATGATCTAAAAAAAACACAGAATACTCCTTTAAATGATCTAAAAAACACAGAATACTCCTTTAAATGATCTAAAAAAAACACAGAATACTCCTTTAAATGATCTAAAAACACAGAATACTCCTTTAAATGATCTAAAAACACAGAATACTCCTTTAAATGATCTAAAAACACAGAATACTCCTTTAAATAATCTAAAAAACACAGAATACTCCTTTAAATGATCTAAAAAACACAGAATACTCCTTTAAATGATCTAAAAAACACAGAATACTCCTTTAAATGTTTGAAAAAACACAGAATACTCCTTTAAATGATCTAAAAACACAGAATACTCCTTTAAATGATCTAAAAAACACAGAATACTCCTTTAAATGATCTAAAAAACACAGAATACTCCTTTAAATAATCTAAAAAACACAGAATACTCCTTTAAATAATCTAAAAAACACAGAATACTCCTTTAAATGATCTAAAAAACACAGAATACTCCTTTAAATGATCTAAAAACACAGAATACTCCTTTAAATAATCTAAAAAACACAGAATACTCCTTTAAATGTTTGAAAAAACACAGAATACTCCTTTAAATAATCTAAAAAACACAGAATACTCCTTTAAATGATCTAAAAACACAGAATACTCCTTTAAATGATCTAAAAACACAGAATACTCCTTTAAATAATCTAAAAACACAGAATACTCCTTTAAATGATCTAAAAAACACAGAATACTCCTTTAAATGTTTGAAAAAACACAGAATACTCCTTTAAATGATCTAAAAAAACACAGAATACTCCTTTAAATGATCTAAAAAACACAGAATACTCCTTTAAATGATCTAAAAACACAGAATACTCCTTTAAATAACCAAAAAAACACAGAATACTCCTTTAAATGATCTAAAAACACAGAATACTCCTTTAAATGTTTGAAAAAACACAGAATACTCCTTTAAATGATCTAAAAACACAGAATACTCCTTTAAATAACCAAAAAAACACAGAATACTCCTTTAAATGATCTAAAAACACAGAATACTCCTTTAAATAATCTAAAAAAAACACAGAATACTCCTTTAAATGATCTAAAAACACAGAATACTCCTTTAAATAATCTAAAAAAAACACAGAATACTCCTTTAAATGATCTAAAAAACACAGAATACTCCTTTAAATTATCTAAAAACACAGAATACTCCTTTAAATTATCTAAAAAACACAGAATACTCCTTTAAATGATCTAAAAACACAGAATACTCCTTTAAATTATCTAAAAAACACAGAATACTCCTTTAAATGATCTAAAAACACAGAATACTCCTTTAAATGATCTAAAAAACACAGAATACTCCTTTAAATGATCTAAAAACA